AAGATAGAATCGTTGGGTGACAGAGTTGTTGTCAACTCGTGTAGTGCGTTACCCCCTGTCGCGGATCAATCACGTTGTGTCGTGTGGTGTGAACAGCTCAACAACTTGAACACTCCTGATTTCACAGAGAGCAAGTCATGTAGTGTGAACCGCACAGTTCAGCCCGACGTTTTAAAATCATGTAGTGTGAACTAGGCTTAAGATGTAGAGGAACTTATCTAGTGTTAAATGAGTGTTACGTTATCTCTCTCACGAGAATGCAGCGTAAAGTGAGTGACGTCAGTGAGTGAGTTGTCAAGCAAGGAGAGCGAGCGGTAGCAGTGTCTGTGAGGGAAAAAATAGATCACGGCCGGTCTTGGGCCCCGAAACAGAAAAAGTGGAACATCTTATATCAAATTTTTATAACCTATTTAGTCAGAAACAACGTCATTCATTTGATGAATGCTCAAGTCCGATTTTATGAATCTCGAGTCCGAGTCCAAGTACTAGTCATCAGTCCGCGAGTCCAAGTCGAGTCACGAGTCCAGAGCATGGAGTCTCGAGACGGACTCGAGTACTCCATCACTGCAACATGCACTGCGTGTTCCCGGGGGCGGGGTTTATGTAAATGTTAGGGTTAGTGATGTCACTAACCCGGGAGGAAGCTCGTGTAGTTCCTACCAGTCGTTTGTTGTAGTCCTTAAAAAACGATTTCTTTAAAAGCAAATATCTACCTTTGCTTTGAACTTTGAGCGTTGTAACTTTGCAGATGTTGTTTATGCTCAAACAGCAACATTACAAAGTGAAATCATAATCAACCACCCCTTTAAACCTGCGTCTCTACAACCAGCACCTGCTAATGCTAACGGTTGGGGAGCTCAGATAATGTCTTTAGATAATGATTTGCTTATTTTTATCCTCTTGCAAAACTCTGGCCACTTTATTTGCCCTGTCCACCTCTGAAATAAAAATTATGTTATTTCCAAATATCACATGTGAATTATTACTAGTCTGAGATCTGACAGGTGACTTTGGCACTGCTGCACTATCAATGATGACGATTTTGTTATTTATAACGTAAGAGACTGAAACTCAAATGACTTTCGAATACAACCACATCTTCCTGCTTCTGCCAATTACACTTTCGAACTGACTAATAATACGCACTTCGTTTGGCGCAAATTATCCGCCCGAGTCTCAATCCACAACACTTCATTGAGGAGATTGTCTCAACTGTGAAGAGTCCACATAAACTGGTAATACAACTATGACTTGAAATAATTATTAACAGTCATGTATCTGATTAACTAAAGTGACTGATTAACTGAACTACAGTAGTCAACATTTGAAGTGGATCAAAACCTTTCATCAAAGTTTTACATGAATTTTGAACAACCCGTTCTTGTCTTAGGACAACTTTGATGAACTTTTTTGATCCACTTCAAATGTTGACTACTGTACATTGGAAACCCTCACTACTTCAGCATTTTAAAAAGACATTTGGTAATATTACAGTAATATGACGTAATTTATCAAAACCATGTATAACAAATAAAATATGTAGCCCAAGGCCTGAATTTCGTTTTGGAAAATGGGGGGGAAATCCCCCCTTAGATGATTCTCATGGGGGGGATTTTTTTTGTTTGAGGGGGAGAAATTGGGTGTATTTTTTCCAAACAAAATTATTATATTTATCTTGCCTAAATGTTTAACTTTGCGCTCATTGCATTTTTACAATGGGGTAATATTGTTGTTAAGAATTTACACATCACAAGGAAGCTTGATTTAAATTGTTTAATTAAATTGAAAAAAGTAGCACAAATAAATACAATAGAATAAAGATACAAATAAAGATAATTAAAGAGAAAAGTTTTTCAATGGGTCTAACACTAGTATTCATATACAGAAACTGAATAAAGTAATCAAATGGACAATAACACTGGGTAGTATTTTAGTCCTGAATAAATTAAATACATAGGCTATTAATCCTGATTCCTTTAACTTAAAGCTATCTTTTGTTGTTTTGACAACAAAATTAATGACAGACACATATGGCTGCCGTCACTTTAAGAGCTAGAGCACGGATCCTGTGTTCATTATACTGGCATGCGTTTTATCCTTATCAAAGACAAAACCGACTATGTTTAGAGTATAGCCTACTCACAAAGACCGAAATTGACATATTTGCGTGTTAAAGCAATATAATCCGCGGAAAATAGTTACTGGCCAGCTGTTTTTGAGGCGGATTTTATACGAATGTGCGCATAGAAAATAATCTCTCAGAGAGCGCGCGAGCACTGATTAGTTTAAAATCGCTTGAATGTTTAAACTGGTAAGACTTAAAAAGACTTCAGTCACGATGCACTGCTGGCCCGATTGTGCAAGTGAATATTCCGTCATGTCCCGACCTTTACCTTACAGTCTATGGTCCCGACTCCAAAACGCGAGTGTGTATTATCGCCGCAGCGCTTGATGCCTGCCTTGCACAACACATTATGAGAGAAGAGATAGAAGACGTGCGCGGCACCGCTGAACACTCACGCTGTTTGTGAAATTGCGTCTGGAAGAGAGTTGTTAAAAGAATGATTTGATTTTATTATCTGTGTGGATTACGATTGCGGGAATTTCCCGCATTATAAATGGGAGACCTGCGGGAATGATTAGAAATATGCGCAATACCCGCGCCGAAATTCGAGCCCTGTAGCCTATGTCTTTATTACATACATGGGGGACTTCAACATCTTTCACGTTGGAGTAAAAATTGGGTAAACAAAACATAACTACAATATAATATGCAGATTAAATTGCTATGCAAGACCCTCACTGATGTACGAGACATTAGTGATTCAAAATAAGTCAAACCAAACAATCAGTGACTGCCAGTGTTTCATCTATCCATTTCATGATCGATCTTCACTGTCATGTCCGAGTACTCGAGTATTTGAAAAACACTTGGCTTAATAAAATGCAAATTACAAAATGATAAATATTTACATTTTTATATTCACCTGCCATTGGCAGATGTGACAAAAACTACCGGTAATTCTGAACATTTTTTAAATTTGCTCATTATTATTGACTTGTATTTTAATCCCTCGCACGCTTCAGTTGTGTGTTCAGATAAGCTTTTCACTTCTCTCATTAAATATGATACACAATCTCTGTTTGCTCTGTTATTAATTGAGATTAAAAAGCGTTAGCTGCTGTCTGGGGATTACTAATGTTATCCATGTTTCTGCAAAAGTGGGTGAGTAACAACCGAAGGAAACATTGCCGTACAACGAGAACATAAACTGCAGGTGCAAAACATTGACCCTTTACACATTTCCAGGTTTCTCAGATGAGGAAGTCGTCATGGTTGGGTAAACTTCTATAGTGAGGAATGAGAGACTACATTTTTTTGTGTTCACATTTGCTCAAATAGCAAAAGAGACACTAGACAAGTGTTTTCACAACTTACAAAAACGGAAAAAAGATAGAGAGAGATCCCTCTCTCAAAAGGCATTTTGATCAATAGACCAACAGAAAGATAGATGCACTTTAATAAACCTTTAGGGGAAACTCCGAACTCTTTAAAAACTAGTGTGCGTGTTCAAGCCTGTAGTCTTTAATATGCAGAAAACATTAAGGGCCTTTTCACAGCGGGTTAAAGAGAAACCTTAACAGTAATAAAGAAAGCCCCCTGGCTATGAGTTACCCGTATCAAACCAAACAGAGACAAAGACTAACTGTATTTCTATATGATGTGGAGAGAAAGAGTCAGACAGACATATCCAAGAGAAATGGGGTCACTGTTCGGTCATATCCTTATTTTGTCCAATCTTCATAATTAAATGAGATTTAACCCATTCATTCCAGTCGCAGTCCCACTGAAGAAGTTCATAACACTGGCTCCATAACCCAACTATTATCATTACCTGTGCTCAGAGGTTATTGTTATTCGAAAAACCATATCATCATTCAAAGGAAAGCTGCAAACCTATACTTCAAGCTTCAGACCACACACACCTTCTTCCTGTCCTGACATTAACCTGTCGTTTCATACTTGATTTTAAACTGTAGTTACAGTGAACAGATCCTGAGAGTTTCCCTCTATTACTTAGCCTACATAAGCAACATGTAAAAGAGGTATACAGTCTATTCCTTCCCTGATAGTTGCTACATACAACACATTAATAACAAACAAACTACAATAAACATTTGGAAGAACTTGGTTCCACCTGTAATAATGTCTGGGAAAAGTGCAACAGGTCAGCCAAGGCGTATCTAAATACAGGCTCTTCTGACTGTTAAAAATCTCCTTCAGACACAAATAAACAAGTTTAAATTAATCTGCCAGGGTTAAAATAAAAATATTTTTGTTTACTGTAAATTGACACTGTGATCGTGTTTAGCCTCTTTATTAATACTTCACCCACGCAAAGAGACAAAACAAACAAACCCAAAATGAATTAACTTTAAAATAAAACACAAACAAGGGAAAGTATACAGCAAATGTTAACAGCTGTTTTTAAACTGAGTATTAAACCCATCTGGATGTGCCAAATATGGCGATTCAGGGTGTATAAAGTCTTATAACTTTGTGCCTTTCAACAATCATTTTCAGACGCATATTAACTTAAATTTGAACTCTTAAATAACTCTTTTTCTGAAGTTTTTATTTTATTTAATTTAGAACCACGTATTAAACTAAGTTAGCCGGTTAGCATGTTAGCCATTCACCTTTTTGAGTATCCAACATAAACACTGTCATCCTGCAGGGTTATTGTTCTTTAAACTACTAACATATATAAAATATAACTTAAAGCACATCATATATGCATGTTACTGACAGAGAAAGAGATAAAACTAGTGAAAAAGCAGAGAGTTTATGGGGCCAGTCGTTAAATCCCAGCGCCATGTTGTTGTTGTTGTTGTATTAAAAGCCAGACGTTCAGCGACTAAAACACAATCAAACGAACCGAACTTACACACACCTGTAAATAAAACAATGCTGAAACAAAAAAACTCTTCATCCTTACCATCACACGCTCCGTTCAATCCCGATAAAACGACCAAGAGTCGCAGTATTTGCCGTGGGTCCATCCTCCTCACAGGACTCCCATCGCACTGAGAATGCGCGTGAACTCCGCTGACGAGAGCGCGCCAATGATGACTTGACGAGAGCGCGCCAATGATGACTAGACGAGAGCGCGCCACCACAGAGCACGCGCAATACCAGATAGATAGATAGATAGATAGATAGATAGATAGATAGATAGATAGATAGATAGATAGATAGATAGATAGATAGATAGATAGATAGATAGAAAACATACTGGCCTTAATGTATAAGTTAATTAATCAATATTATTATTATTATATTAATTATTACAAGTTAATTATATCTGAATGACAGGTGTGACTAAACAAACATAAAGCTATGATCTTATTCTTGGATTGTAATACTGGCTCAGATATAATTGATAACACATTAAAGTTAATAATTCTTCTTGGGAAGTTTCCATAGACTGTAAAATAAAGTTTCATATAGCCTACATAAAGCTAAAGTAATGTCTATGACACCCTCCTTTAATTTATTTTGTAAAGATCTTAAAATATTACATGACTCATTGAATTCAATCACTAGAAATAAGAAGTGCATAAAAACCTCTCATATTTTGAAAAAAAAAATATATAAATATATAGTTGTTTTACTCTGTACAATGTAAGATCTGTTATATGTTTCCCCAATATCTGTTTGTATTATGTTTGATGTTAAATGTCATTGTAAGCCTTAATGAAAGTAAAAAACAACAACAACAAAACAACAGATCTAATAAACTCAGCTGTTAATTCAATCTTAAAAAAACAACAACAAAAATAAAACATAAAGAGTACAGTAGCGCCCTCTCATGAAGAATATCAGTCAAAACCCTTTTACTGTCTATGGTCAAAACAAGCTGCAGATCCTATTCGAATATAAAAACCTCGGTAACTACTTCTAAATTTAGATATAACCTATTAAGACGGTACAATTCTACCTGGATGCATTTTATTTAATTAAAATGTTGTAATTTGATATATTTCTGCTGTTCCGGGCACTGTAAGCGGAACCGTTAACAGCAGGACTGTGTCCGTGGGAAACGCTGCACGCGTGTGTTACAGCGCGAAGTGTCCGTGTTAAAGAAGAGTCATGGCAGCCTCAGATCTCTTTAAAACTTTATTATACACAGTCAACAATCTCCTGCAGCAGCACAAATATAAACCTGCTCTGGCTGTCCTCAAAGGCTTCAGGAATGGAGCTGTGTGAGTGTTTTCAACCGCGTTTTTCTTTTTTTATGCATGTTTGTTTTGTTTGTTAATAAATGCATGTACATATTTGTGATTCTGACCTTGTTTAACGTACACTTTTGATTATATTTCACTTTGCGTATGAAAAAATATATAGCCTATAAATCAGTTTCTTTTTGCCTTATATGAATGTTATATTACATTTTAAACTTAAAATTGCAGTAATATGTATTCATATTACTGGGTTTAGACATAAGACTCACTTTAATTATGTAATTAAATACATGTTAATAATTATTGTATTTATGTTTTGTTCTGTTTTTCCAGATATGGGGCTAAAATTCGTGCTCCTCATGCCCTAGTGATGACGTTTCTCTTCAGAAGTGGCAGGTGAGGTGAACTTTGACCTTTCAGATTACCAACTCCATGTCACTTTTATGTAAAAAATAGTTCTAGTCTAGCTCTCATCCTTAGACTGCTGCTTTTACTTGTTGATAAAATAGATAATATTACGTGGAAAATACTATGTGATATTTTATCATTCAAATTTTTCTTAAATATTAAACTGGTGTTCACATGTCCAAAAGTTTAAGATGACTAGTGGCAGTGGTAATATTTTTCTAATATACATACATTTGATACATGCATAACACACACACATATATATATATGCAATATATGTGCTGAATAATCAGACAAACATCATGACTTATCATGACTAACAACAAATAACATAATAAATGTAATAGCCTGTGATCTCTGCTCATCAACAGTCTGAGAGAGAAGTTTCGGGCGATCGCTCAGGCCACGTTCACTCACTCCAGGAATCTAGCCTGCTTCGTGTTCACATATAAAGGCCTTCAGGCTCTTCAGCAGCACGTCCAGGGGAAACCCCTGCAGTCTCACTCCTTTCTCGCCGCGTGTCTCGGAGGCTGGCTGGTGTTTGGAGAAAATAACAACATTAACAGCCAGGTTAGTGGAACTGAGTTCATTATCTGATCTATCATTGATACCTAACAGTTTCAGTTGAAAAGGTGTTTGAACTGCTCTTCTTTAACACTTTAAAGCCTGGCTTTTCTTTTTAAAAAATGGAACGGTTTATTGAACCGTCAGATAAAATCCTTAAAAATGCCAGTATATTATTCAGAGGCCAAACTGAGCAGTAATAAATGCAGTGTGGTGCAGATGGTGATAGTTATATGACCAAAATCTAAGACGAAATACTGATATCTTGTCATGTAAATCAATGAGATCTTTATAACAGCAAGGCAGACTACTTGCAAAAAAATGCAAAATTTTGGAAACATTATGATTTTTAATGTTTTTAAAAGAAGTCTCTTCTCCACTCACTAAGGTTGCATCAAAAATACAGTAAAGTGTCACATGATCCTTTAGAAATCATTATAATATGCTGATTTGATACCTTTAAATACTCCATGGTGTTGATGGATGCTGATGAGACGGGCGCGTTCACAGATAACCTGGTGCACACACACTGACGAGCACGAACTCGGTGGGAGGGTATCCGTTGATAGTGGGGGAGGGGCGTGAGAGTTGTAAACATTCAAAATTTTGCCTAAGTCCACTCAATCTGCCAGACTTGCCGACTGCAGCTTTAAGTTGTTCCACAGTTTCACCCCTTGTTATGGAAACACAAAAACTTTTCTTCCTACTATGTACCAATGGTAATATGAAATTTAATTTTCCTCTCAACACATACCCTCCTTCTCTCCGAGTAAATAACTTTTGTATATTTTGAGGTAAATCATTACGCTTGGCCCTATATGGAATTTGCACAGTCTGTAAATCCACCAAATCTTTAAATTTTATTAATTTAGACTCCATAAAAAATATATTGGTATGTTCCCTAATATAACATGCCCCATGAATGATCCTTAAAGCTCTCTTCTGTAAAATGACAAGTGGCTGAACTGTTGTTATGTAGTTGTTTCCCCACATTTCTACGCAATAAGTGAAATATGGCAAAACTAATGAACAATAGAGCACACGTAAAGATTTAAAACTTGCCTTGCTCTACCAATTATTGCTATACTCCTTGAAACCTTACTCCTAACATAGCCTAACTAATGTGAGGTTTCCGGTTCACTTTATTGTCGACAACAATTTACACCTTTGATTTGTGTTGTTTTGCTCAGATAAACATGTACCTGCTGTCCCGGATTCTCTTCGCCTTGTCTCGTCTCGCAGTGGAAAAGGGCTTAATCCCGCAGCCCAAGAAAGACCCGTTCCCTCTGTTTGCCACGCTGGTGTGGGGCGTCGTGCTCTGGTTGTTTGAGTATCACCCACACACACTTCAGCCTTCCCTGCAGTCCTCCATGAACTACCTCTACCACGACAGCAACACATGGCACGACATTTCGGACTTTCTCATCTATAACAAACCCAAAACCAACTGAGCTACTGGAGGGACAGACCTAGCCTCCTGCGTTCCAATCTAGACAAAACAACAGACCACTTTCGTTTGATTGAAGGGTTTAATTACTATACCATTATTTGTGGCACGTATATAAATTGCAGATGCTTGACTTCTACTTTACATTGTTAGAGGTTGAACTAAATGACTACTTTGCACATCGTCTAGACTCTAACGCTCCACTTTTACACTCGGATGTACTTGCACTTCATGATAACTGTGATAAACCATCATGTAAAGACAGAAACAGAACATGTTTATGAATTTCTCAAAAAAAAAAAATGTTCCGGCCACATTTCACCCGAAAGCAATTATTTTGTGTAAGAAAAATGAAATTTGTTTTTAGGACCATCACCATTATGACAATTTCCTCCCATATTGTCATTACTTTTATACGTTCACAGACTCCTCACATTTTACTTTTGAGCCTTTCCTATTATTCCCTTTATTCTCAATGCTAGTTAGTTTCTCTGGTAACACTTTGCAATAAGGTTTCATTGGTTAACATAACTTCACTGCATTAGTTAGCGTGAACTAACAGCGAACAATACTTCTACAGCATTTTAATATTCATTTAATATTTAATATTCATCTTAATATTAACCTTAACGTTTACTTTTTAAGATTAAAAGTAGCATCTGTTAACATTAGTTAATGCACTGTGAGCTAACATGAACATTTTGATTAACTAACATTAAGAAAGGTTCATAAACGCTGTAAAAATATATTTCTCATTGTTAGTTTAATGCATTAACTATTGTAAAAAATGAGACCTTATTGTAAAGTGATACTGTTTTTGATAGTACAACAAATACTAGCCATGATGTGTAAATACTTAATTTAAAAACACAAAATCCTTTCAAATAAATCCTATTTTTGCGTTCTGGTTATGAGGAGTGAGAATCATGAAACCTGTCAAAACTTCATTTTCTATGTGCAATTTAAATAGTTCGTTTTTTCACTTATTTTTGGGGAAAATATGACCTGGGCATGTTTTGGTGCTGCACTTTTTGGTGTCATATTACATAAAACGTAACATTGCAATCGCAGGCCTTAAAACAAAATAATGACTGTTCATACATTTTTTTTTTAATTGTAAATAATTAGTCATGAGGGTCCATAGTTTATTCCTGATTCTCACCACAGCATTGATAAAGTGGTTAAGCGCTTTATATATTTTATTCTTTTGCTGATTGCAAAACTTTTATTAATTGAAATGCAAGGGCAAGTATAAGCAGCAATTTACTAAGTGGAAATTCAAGAGTAATATTTTTTGCAATTATATTATGTTGGTGCAGATTTGATGGAAGAATGAATGTATTAATTGATTAAATACAGTACCAGAATATATGCGTGAGTCATTAATAATGTTTGAAATATATTTATTACCCATAGTTTCCCATATGTATTAAAACTGTATGAAATTAACCCCTACTGTGGGTGAAATTGCATCTTTATTTTCAACAATCGCTGGCATCAGATCATATATACACTATGCTGAATATATGTTCCAGAATCAAACACAAGTTCAAATGAAGATCTGCATGCCGGGTATATATCGCTTAAACATATTTGATTACATTTATTCTGGTTTAAGTCGTCTTAGGAAATGATATTACCCAGCAAACTTTTTTTACAACCCTGAATCCATTTTAGTGTATTTATCTAAAGCAAACTTTAATAACCTTATATCGTTTTTTTAAATGGCCATTTTATGGTATTTTAACATGTTTCTCGCCATAAAAATAATCAAGGAAGTTGTAATGGTGTTAAAACACCAACCGTCCTATTCCATTTGTATTATCTTATCCACATATTATCCTGCTTCAGGTAACTGGGTTGGGAAATTTAGTTATGTGTGTATACACTCACCTAAAGGATTATTAGGAACACCTGTTCAATTTCTCATTAATGCAAATATCTAATCAACCAATCACATGGCAGTTGCTTCAATGCATTTAGGGGTGTGGTCCTGGTCAAGACAATCTCCTGAACTCCAAACTGAATGTCAGAATGGGAAAGAAAGGTGATTTAAGCAATTTTGAGCGTGGCATGGTTGTTGGTGCCAGACGGGCCGGTCTGAGTATTTCACAATCTGCTCAGTTACTGGGATTTTCACGCACAACCATTTCTAGGGTTTTCAAAGAATGGTGTGAAAAGGGAAAAACATCCAGTGAGCGGCAGTCCTGTGGGCGAAAATGCCTTGTTGATGCTAGAGGTCAGAGGAGAATGGGCCGACTGATTCAAGCTGATAGAAGAGCAACTTTGACTGAAATAACCACTCGTTACAACCGAGGTATGCAGCAAAGCATTTGTGAAGCCACAACACGCACAACCTTGAGGCGGATGGGCTACAACAGCAGAAGACTCCACCGGGTACCACTCATCTCCACTACAAATAGGAAAAAACAAAATTGAAAAGTTGAAGACTGGAAAAATGTTGCCTGGTCTGACGAGTCTCGATTTCTGTTGAGACATTCAGATGTTAGAGTCAGAATTTGGTGTAAACAGAATGAGAACATGGATCCATCATGCCTTGTTTGAACTGACAATTGCAAGTTTTTTTTACCTAAAGAGGCAATCAATCATGATCACATTGGGAAACAAAATAAACAATTCAAATGGACCAGCTGAAGCACCATAAGATCTGCTTGTCAAGTATTATATATCAAGTGAGTAGTGATTTTATGACACTAACGAGAATTCAACAGGCCAGAGGCCCGTCGGACCCTAACGATAGCTAGACACTGGAATGATTCAGAGTGAGGAAATAACTCACCGTTCACTAAGAATTGCTTTCATGTGCATTCAAAAACACCTTTCTCTGAGCCAAGTGTGCCATCTATGAGCACAAAAACTGTTCTGATGACGACTACTGATAAAACTGAAAATCGGAGAATGTACTCGGAGTCAAGCGTGTGAAGCATCTTAAAGTAAGAGTACCATTTCATATGGTCATAATACCATACATTAGACATGAAGATCAGCATGATCACTTTGACTCTTAGATAAGTCTAAACATGAGAACCCTACTCCTACTTTAAGAGAAAGTTGTGTTTCACCACTGATGCTTAACTTTCCTCTTAAAAACTCAGCATGAACACATCATTGTAGCATTTAGGTGAATTTTCAAAATACATTTAAATGTGGTTATATACTCCAAACTAGTTACTTTAATGTTCCGTTGATTTGATTGTTATGAAGTCCACACTAAGTTACATGTAACCGCAGAAATTCAGTTTTTTGAAAAAGATCAAAGGAACTGGGAAAGGTAAAGAAAATGAAAAAAGTAGACCATCCATACAGAACTCAATACATCAAATTTCTGCTAACAACGCAGAGCTTCTCCACAGGTAAAAGTGAGGAGGATATCACACACTTCTCTTTCTGACACACACACACACTCTCTCTCTCTCTCTCTCTCTCTCTCTCTCTCTCTCTCTCTCTCTCTCTCTCTCTCTCTCTCACTCTCTCACTCTCTCACTCTCTCTCTCTCTCTCTCTCTCTCTCTCTCTCTCTCTCTCTCTCTCTCTCTCTCTCTCTCTCTCTCTCTCTCTCTCACTCACTCACTCACTCACTCACTCACTCACTCTCAATTCAATTCAATTTTTTCAATTCAAATAGCTTTATTGGCATGGTGAAAGAAATCTTTACATTGCCAAAGCACTCATAACACTATACAATACAAACAAATAAATAAATAATTATAAATAAAAATTAAAATAAATTAATAATAATAATAATATTAAAAATCTTCAATCTTCTAGTATTTATCGCAGTGTCTCTAGGCGTACAGTTGGTAGCTCTGTCCTGCCGGAGGCTCTTTCTTCGTGACAGGACCTCACATATCTGGCAGCCAGGTTTGAGCTCGCTGGGCTTTCTCCTAGCAGGAGTGGGAGTTTGTCCATATTCGATTTTTGGGGGAAGTCCTTCTGGTAGGTTGTGAAAAGGGGATAGAAAGTGTCCCTAATGTTTTTATATTTGGGGCAGGATGTCAAGAAGTGTAGTTCTGTTTCCACCTGATTCTCTGTGCAGTGAGGGCACAGTCGCTCTTCCCTCGGCAGCCAGGTCTGCCTGTGTCGGCCTGTCTCTATGGCCAGACTGTGTTCACTGAGTCTGTACATGCTCAGGACTTTCCTCAGTTTAGGGTCGCTCACTGTACTCAGGTATCCTGCCAATTCATATGTTCGTTCTGTTTAGGGCCAAATAGCATTCCAATTTACTCTGTTTGGCTGTCGCGTCTGTCCAATGTTTGAGGTATTTTTCTTTTTGTGTTTTAATAATTTGGTTTGGTCTGGCTATGTTTTTATTGTCAGTTTGTGACGTCAGCTCTGAGACCGATCGGCCGAGGGCGTTCTTCTCTGGCTTCAGCTCTTGGTAGGACAGGGCTTTGTGATGGAGGGTCTGTTCATCGCTATTTTTTAAGTGGGCATGGAATTTAATGGCTCTTTTTTGAATAGTTATTAAAAGGGGGTATAATCCTAATTCTGCTCTACAGGCATTATTTGGGGTTTTGCGCTGAACTCGTAGCAGGATTTTGCACAGCTCGGTCTGCAGAGTCTCCATTGGGTGTTTGTCCCATCTAGTGAACTCTTGGTCTGAGAGTGGACCCCAGACTTCACACCCGTACAGCGCGATGGGCTCTATTACTGTTTTTATTATTTTTAGCCAGATTCTAATTGGGATGTCAATTTGGATATTTCTCTTAATAGCATAAAAAGCTCTCCGTGCCTTGTCTCTCAAGTCGTTTACAGCTTTTTTTAAATTTCCTGTGTTGCTGATATTTATGCCGAGGTAAGTGTAGTCCTGCGTGTGTTCGAGGAGCATGTTGTTCAATTTAAAACTATGATGTTGGTCTTGGCGGCTGGGTCTTTTTTGGAAAATCATTATTTTTGTCTTTTTGGGGTTAACTGACAGGGCCCATGACTGACAGAAGCTGTGCAGGAGGTCTAGATGCTGCTGTAGACCCTCTTTAGTGGGAGACAGCAGCACCAGATCATCAGCGAACAGAAGGCATCTGACTTCAGTGTCCAGTAGAGTAAGGCCAGGTGCTGCAGACTGATCCAGAGCCCTCGCTAGCTCATTTATGTAGATGTTGAAGAGCGTGGGACTTAAGTTGCAGCCCTGTCTCACTCCACGACTCTGAGGGAGGAATTCTGTGTGCTTGTTACCAATTTTAACTGCAAATTTGTTGTTTGTGTACATAGATTTGATGATGTCATATGTTTTTCCTCCAATGCCGCACTGGATTAATTGAAGAAAAAGACCTTCATGCCAAATGGAGTCAAATGCTTTTTTGAAGTCAACAAAGCATGAGAAAATTTTACTTTTGTTTTGGTTGATTTGCTTATCGACTAAGGTATGGAGAGTGTGGGGGATGTTTTCTTGGCACACTTTAGGCCCCTTAGTGCCAATTGGGCATGGTTTAAATGCCACAGCCTACCTGAGCATTGTTTCTGACCATGTCCATCCCTTTATGGCCACCATGTACCCTTCCTCTGACGGCTACTTCCAGCAGGATAATGCACCATGTCACAAAGCTCGAATCATTTCAAATTGGTTTCTTGAACATGACAATGAGTTCACTGTACTAAAATGGCCCCCACAGTCACCAGATCTCAACCCAATAGAGCATCTTTGGGATGTGGTGGAACGGGAGCTTCGTGCCCTGGATGTGCATCCCACAAATCTCCATCAACTGCAAGATGCTATCCTATCAATATGGGCCAACATTTCTAAAGAATGCTTTCAGCACCTTGTTGAATCAATGCCACGTAGAATTAAGGCAGTTCTGAAGGCGAAAGGGGGTCAAACACAGTATTAGTATGGTGTACCTAATAATCCTTTAGGTGAGTGTATACATATATTTTAAAAAAGGTACGTAGAAAACACTAAGAAATTATGGAAAATTATTGAGCCAAAATTGTACCCTATTGAAAGTCAGCAATAAGCTAAGTTTTGTAACTTATTTATATCAAATGCATGTTAAATTACACTGTACACATTTTATTTTTATTTTAATTGACTGTTTTAAATAAACAAACAAAAAATGAATTGGCTTGTTAAGTCAATAAGACAATGATAGTCAAATAAAAGTCAAAAAATAAAAGCAAAGCCTTAAGTCCTCAAGGCTGAAATACTTTGAAGCTTAAAATAAAATGTTTTTCCCTTGATGTGTTAATTAAATAATAATAAAAAGTTAATAAGCATTTGGTTTCAGCAGTTCTTGAGAAAAGTACAGAACCTCAAACATAATATAGGTCATGACTATAGAAATGTGGTTTCGCTGAATAATTCATTGTTCACTTAATAATTTGGAAAGAAGCATCCGTGGGATCAAGACTTTCAAAAGCATCAGACACCTTTTGTGTGATTTCAGTCGGACAGTCACGTGTGTAAAGAGGAACAGAGCTGCTGTTCACTATAGGACTGTTTAGCAACGCCAATATAAACCACTGGAGCATCAATAACTTTGATTGAGGTCTTTGTGAGTCATTTCAGAAACCTGCATTATGAGATGGCTAAACTGAAGGTGTATGTTTATATAGGGACGGGCCTCAGACTAGCAACGGTGCCTGCATTAATAACCTGGATTATTTCCATTTACTGCCTATAAGCTGCTTGACACTTCTGTAAATTCTTTAGAAAGTCAATTCCTGTTGTTCAATCATGAAAACGAAATTCCACTGTCGTTTTTATTTAGTTAAAGTTTTAGTAATTTTGTCTGGTTTTTGTTTGACATGCAGCTTTTATTAATTTTTCTTTCACTTTTTGTTGTTTTAGAACATCAAGTTAAACTAAATGAAAATGAGAAATGTTTGTAGGCCTATTTTTATATTTTTTGTCAAAAAAATTTTTTATTAACAGTAACAAAAAATGTTTTGGGCTAATAATAGTGTTTATTTTCTCACTGTCACCTATGCTTATTAGGTGCTTATCCTTATTATGCTTCTGTATGTGTTATAAAATATAATACAAAATAATTTTGCTGTTTATCAGCACATTCTGCATAATGTACACTCTTCAGTTCTTATTGCTATAAAAGATATTGCAACAAAAAATATTTTTTTATGGTTTTAGTTTAACTATAATGACCCTGCGTTCAGACCACATTATAATTATAAACGGACACATTTATAATGAATTCTTGCATCTACATACTAACTTCAAAGACCGTTTTCTCAAGTTAGCTTTTTACAGTTTACAGTCTTTAATTAATGTGAAATCCTCTTAAATGTGTAATATCTGCAAGGGGTTCTTGTGTCATATAGAGTATTTCATAATCCTCCTACCAAATGAGAGTGTCTGAGTTCTTTGGAAAATGGGCAGAGTAGAGGAGTGATCTGGGTGTCACCAGGCCTGACATCACCACACCTTCTGCATGGCAGATCTGGTATGATCGATGCTTATATTCGCCATGCATATTCACAGTGTGTGGGTGTGTGATCTCAAGCCCTTTCCGTGACTGAGATCACAGTCTCAGACCTTTCAGTCTCTATAGAATGCAGATTTATTATGCACTTATACAACAATGAAAACATCACACAAAAAATCTATTATAACACTTCATGGCTCATTATTAGTCATCTATGAGGTTAAATCACACGAAACCTGTTAAGAACAAAACATTTCACCTCATAAATAAAAGAAAGATTGCATTTCGTTAAATGCATTAATTTAGCTTAAATGATGCATTTTTTGTACCATTTTTATTTAGATTTTTCTAAATGAGCCCCTTCTCATCTATTTATCATAATGTAATGCATAAATGATGTGCACGGACACTTGCATGGAGCCATTAGTACACACATGCATGGCTCTAATCCTACACCAAGTCCATTTATATAAATAGAAAATAAAATTGGTCCCAAAATAGATCCTTGAGGAACACATCTGCCTTTTATTATTATAATTAGAATTATTGACACATACTGTGTTTTTCCAGTCAAATAGTTGTAAAAACCACTTCAGCTCTGTATTCACAGGTTCGCGTTTAGAGTCTGATCATTTCGACGGAGGTGAATCAATCAAAATTAACTTTAGCTGGAAATAACATTATATAAAAGCGCTAAATAAATGAAGATGACTTGACTTGACTATTACTAAAACCTTCATTTGAGCCTTTGCAAAAGAAGAATCAAATGCTTTGGATAAATCACTATTAAGTGCAACACATGATTTTATTTTTTATCATCCATAAGATGAGACAACTCAGCATTTTTTAGTTTGTGATCTCACCTTTGTCCCAATGAATGCAGATGTGTGATCACATGCATGCATGTCTCATTGTGTGACTGCACACACTGCATCCACCCGCTGAAACACAGCGCTCTGGTATGAGTGATTGCATAACTGTTTTAGGTGTTGGTTCTGATTGTAACGTTTTGCATGTTGACTTCTCTAGAATGTGTTCTGACGTCTCAGGGAGGGGTGGAGGAATGTCATATAAAGCACAATAAACGTAGAACCTGAATCTAACAGCAAACGACAACACAGCGGCACTCATGGACGGTAAGCTTCCATTCTGATTTATTATTTTTTTCCTGTTTTACTAGCAAAGCATTTTCTTAAACCTTAAACAATTTAGTTATTTTACTATTCATGGTTGTTTTAAATGTTTTTAATATTTTCTATGCATGTCATTTAGTTTGATCAGATTATTGCTGCTATCGTTTTTAGATATTTATTTTTTATAGTAGTTGTTTATAAATGATTAATTGCTATTAATTTGAAATCCTTCAATGTTTGTATGGTACAATTTCAGATAATTCTTTAATTATTTATTTGAAAAATATGATTATAAAATGAAATATGTCATTATTTAATTGTATTTTTTTTATTAAATATGAATTCTATTATCTCTACATAAACATTTCATGTTCAGTAATGAGCTATTTATATTTTAATTATTTCTATTTTTATATAAAACATTTTCAGCTGCCTCACAAATAATTTGACATTGCTCATTTTTCTACAGAGTTGAAGCTTCGAAATGTCCACCTGCAGCAGGTCCAGAACCAGATCCGGCACAGGACCGATGGTCTGAGCTCCAGCTCTCTGGTGCTGCGCAGAGGACAGCCCTTCACCATCCTCATCAACTATGATGGACGGCCATTCGATCCACTGAAGGACAAACTGGTCTTCTGGATTGTTCTAGGTGTGTGTGTGTGCTCTTGTTTTTATTACATTGTGAGGACCAAATGTCCCCACAAGAATAGTAAAACGTAAAAATCACCTACATTGTGAGGACTAGCCAATGGTCCCCACAAGGGAAATTGATTAATGAACATACTTAATGATGTTTTTTAGAAAATGTAAAAGAGCAGAAAGTTTTCTGTGATGGGTAGGTTTAGGGGTCATGTTAGTGTAAGGGGACAGAATATACAGTTTGTACAGTATAAAAACCATTACGTCTATGGAGAATGTGTGTGTGTGTGTGTGAAATAAACGTGAAGCCTAATCTCACTCTCTCTGCATTATGAATAATCAGTAGCTAATCATATTTTCCAAATGCAGTTATCCAAATAGCTTAGAATCAGCATGAATCTGTGCATTGGAAAATACATTTTGTGTATTTAAAACATTCAGTTTATTAGTACTATTAAAGAAATCTTACCTGTATGACTAACAAGTATGCATCACATTAGGTTTATTAGTTTGTTCATTTTAAGACTGTGTAAAAAAAAAAGAAAACCAAATTCATTAATCTTAAATTTAGGCCTACATGTTTTTTGAGTGAATCCTGCTCGATTGAGCTCATGAACTAAAAGCAAAAAAAGTGTTCGTAAAGTGTACTATATATATATATACAGTTAGGTCCATATATATTTGGACACAGGCACAATTTTTTTTTTTTCAGATATGTACCAAAACATATTCAAGCTATAGTTATATAATGGATATGGGCTGAAAGTGCACACTCTCAGGTTTAATTTGAGAGTATTTAAATCCAAATTGGAGGAAGGGTTTAGGAATTACAGCTCTTGAGAGTAGCCACCCCCCTTTTTCAAGGGACCAAAAGTAATTGGACAATTGAATCAAAAGTGGTTTCTTGGACAGGTGTGGGCTATTCCTTTGTTATTTCTTTATCAATTAAGCAGGTAACAGGTCTGAAGTTGATTCTAAGAGTGGTATTTGCATTTGGAATCTATTGCTGTGAACCTACATCATGCGTTCAAAGGAGCTCTCCATGCAAGTCAAACAGGCCATCATTAGGCTTCAAAAACAAAATAAATCCATCCGAGAGATAGCTGGAATATTAGGAGTGGCCAAATCAACAGTTTGGTACATTCTGAGAAAAAAAAAAGTGCACTGGTGAGCTCAGCAACATAAAAAAGCCTGGACGTCCACGGAAGACAACAGTGGTAGATGATCGCAGGATCCTCTCCATGATAAAGAAAAACCCATTCACAGCATCCAGCCAAGTGAAGGACACTCTCCAAGAGGTAGGCGTGTCATTGTCAAAGTCTACAATCAAGCGAAGACTTCACGAGAGCAAATACAGAGGGTTCACCACAAGGTGCAAACCATTCATAAGCATAAAGAATAGAAAGGTCAGATTAGACTATACCAAAAAACATCTAAAAAAGCCTGACCAGTTCTGGAAAAGCATTCTTTGGACGGATGAAACTAAGATCAACCTGTACCAAAATGACGGTAAGAAAAAAGTATGGAGAAGGCTTGGAACAGCTCATGATCCAAAGCATACAACGTCATCTGTAAAACATGGTGGAGGCAGTGTGATGGCATGGGCATGCATGGCTTCCAGTGGAACTGGATCACTGGTGTTTATTGATGATGTGACAGAAGACCGAAGCGGCCGGATGAATTCTGAAGTGTATAGGAATATACTGTCTGCCCAGATTCAGCAAAATGCAGCAAAGTTGATTGGAAGGCGCTTCACGGTACAGATGGACAATGATCCAAAACACACCGCAAAAGCAACCCAGGAGTTTTTTAAGGAAAATAAGTGGAAAATTTTGCAATGGCCGAGTCAATCACCTGATCTCAACCCGATCGAACATGCATTTCACTTGCTGAAGGCAAAACTAAAGGCAGAAAGACCCACGAACAAACAACAACTGAAGACAGCTGCAGTTAAGGCCTGGCAAAGCATCACAAAGCAGGAAACCCAGTCTTTGGTGATGTCCATGAGTTCCAGACTTAAGGCAGTCATTGCCTGCAAAGGATTCTCAACAAAATATTAAAAATAAACATTTTATTAATGATTATATTAATTTGTCCAATTACATTTGAGCCCCTGAAAATGGGGGGACTGTGTATAAAAATGGTTGCAGTTTCTAAAATGTTTACTTGATATTTTTGTTCAACCTCTTGAATTAAAGCTGAAAGTCTGCACTTCAAATTCATCCTGATTGTTTCATTTTAATTTTATTCTGTTGGCATACAGAGCCAAAAGTGTCAAAATTGGGCCTGTGTCCAAATATATATGGACCTAACTGTGTATATATATATATATATATATATATATATATATTTGGTTTATTCCAATACATGCAAATAAAAAAAGGTATTGGTAGCCCTTCATTTTACAGTCTTGTTCCCCATGTATACTATACTTATTATAGTAAGAGCAATAACTTGGTACTAACCCTGAACCTACCCCTAAACCTAACCTTAACCCATGTAGTTACCTTATATTAATTACCCTGTACTTTTTTTTTAGATTGCACGCGCTGTAAAATAAAGTGCAACCAAAGTATTTGAAGTATAGGACAGATTGTCGTATGGGTTCTACACACGTATACACTATTGCTTAACAGCTCAGAGCTTATAGTAAGTCAGTCTTGAAAGGTTATTGATAAAAACGAATTCCTTTGTGGAGAACATGAGTAGTGTTTGACTTCCAGAGCCCTATTTTTGTGTTTAAGTCTGAACCTGACTCCACTGTGTTCATCGCAGGGCCGCTGTCTGTGGAGATGCCGGTCTCCGTGTCTGGAAACCCTTCTCCGTCTCAATGGAGTGCCATTCTGGAGAGGAGAGTACCGGACCCGAACGCGGGCCGCACGCAGACCGTATCACTGTTCAGCCCTGCGTCTTCCTCTGTAGGAGTCTATACACTTCACCTGAGAGTCGAGACCCGCGGGAGCATCAAAACTCACGTGCTGGGACAGTTCACACTCCTCTGCAACCCCTGGTGCCAAGGTGAGCAGGACGAAGAACTGTACATGAACAATAGTAGTTCTGGTGAACACAAAAGAAGATATTTTGCTAAACAGTTGCTGGTCCCCATTGACTTCTATGGAATTTTTAATATCTTTTTTATACTATGGAAGTCAATGGAGTCCAGAAATGTTCAGTTACTAACATTCTTCAAAATATCTTCTTTTGTGTTTAACATAACGAAAAAACGTACACATTCAAGTCACTATGATATTCTGGTCTCTAGATAGGCTTAGAAATCATTCATGTTTGTAGGACTCGATTAAAAATCTTATTCGGCATAATCTTATGCTAAGATGTACATTGGAATTATTGTATATTTGAATATAAATAAATAATTTCTGCTTTAAATTGCATTGTCAGCTAATATATTACATGGTGAAAATAATTTTTAAGAATATTACTTGATATAGACTACAGTTTGGTGTCTGTAATATTTATTAATGTTTTTGTCTCTTATGCTAACTCTTATGCATTTATTTAATTAAAAATACAGTAAAAAATATTATTACAATCTAAAATAGCTGTTTTCTATGTGAATATATTGTAAAATGTAATTTATTCCTGTGATCAAAGCTGAATTTTCAGCATCATTACTCCAGTCTTCAGTGTCACATGATCCTTCAGAAATCACTCTAATATGATGATTTGCTGCTCAAGAACCATTTCTGATTATTATCAATGTTGAAAACAGTTGCACTGCTTTACATTTTAGTGGAAACTTGCATTTTCAGTATTATTTGATGAATAGAAAGTTCAAAAGAACAGCATTTATTTGAAATAGAAATCTTTTGCAATTTATTTAATGTCACTTCTGATCATTTTAATGTCCTCGCTGAATAAAAGTATTTATTTATTTATTTAAAAAAATTGAATCTCACCCCAAACTTTTGAACTGTATAGTATAGCCATAGAACTTCACCTACATCCGTACAAACCCCTTAGCTGTGATAAAATCTTATTGCTTTCATTTGTTGTCATTATACCAAGCTCACCCTCTTCTGTGATTCTGCAGCTGACTCCGTGTTCCTGCAGTCGGAGGATCTGAGGGATGAATACATCAGGAATGACTTCGGTCTGCTGTTTAAAGGCAGCCCCGGGAACATCGAATCCAGACCCTGGTCTTTCGATCAGGTGAGATGTTTGACCGTTGACTGATGGCACAGCACTGAAAAACTGCTTCTCATTAAAGGTGCAGTGTGTAATATTTAGGAGGATCTGTTGACAGAAATGCAATATCATATACAGAACTATGTTTTCAGTGGTGTATAAAGACCTTACTTAATTATTACCTCAGAATGAGCCATTTCTATCTATACACCGTGGGTCCTCTTACAATTGAAATGCCCCGACATGTTTCTACGGTGGCCCTAAATGGACATACGCGTTTCGTCACTATGTTGTTCTTCGTGCAAAAAAGCAAGCTAAAGTCAGTGAATAAAAACACTGACACAATGATGAACAAGTAACAATAATATTCACAAAAAGAAACCTCATAGAGAGCCTAAGTCCCTCCGCTCATGGGACCTTATTTCGGAAAAAATATGTATGGTAGTCAATGGCGAGAGACAACTTATCTTTTTATTCCGTCTGAACTGTACCCTGAATTACACATAGATGTTTGTCAATTTAAAAGATAACTCTGAAAGTCAAGAAAGTCGCAGTTTGATGTAAAACAGAAGAGTAACATTTAGTTTTATGTGAAAATCGCTCAATGAACTACATCTCCCGGGAAGCGAAACAACGAGCGAGATCCGCTGCTCGTGTGTGTGCAGTCCTGTACAAAACACTCAGGCATGACGGCGTAACGTTACGATTATAACGTAAGACTATAGAAACAATGACAGACGTTAGCTTCAGTAAAGTTAACTTTAGCTTCAGTAAAGTTAGCTTCATTCATTGAGAGAAAATGTGCACCTTTGGGGTTTGTAGTCTTTGTAATTACGTATTTTCACAGTCTTATACCTCAACAGTTTTACATCAAACTGCGACTTTCTTGACTTTAAAATGTATCTTTTAAATTGACAAACATCATATGTGTAATTCAGGGCACAATTCAAACGAGATCAAAATATTTGTTGTCTCTCGCCATTGACTACCATACAATATTTTTCCGAAATAAGGTCCCATGGTGGTCGACCGGAAGGGGAGGGACTTAGGCTCTCTATTGTTTAACTGCTACTCTCTGCTGTCTCAGGCTATGTTTATACGGAAACGATCTGAAGAAAAAACGCAAAAGTGGGGTTGCGTTGTCACTTTTTATTCTGCGTTTAGACGAGGGTTATGGTTGGGAAATCCGCGTGCATATGGTGACGCAAAAGTGTGTGAAATTCGATGTAGTATGCACTCCAGGCAGCTAGGTAGCTACCACACAACAACACCATATCTTAGAATATTTTGTACAACTGTTGAAAAGACTCTAGTATGTTTTTCAGAGCTGCTAGGTCAAATTGAAGGTCCGACGTATGGAAATAATCTGACATGTTGGTTGTTATTTTCCTGTACTGGCGCATGCATGTGACGTAAACGCGTACGCGACGAGAGCCACCGTGAGCAGATTAGCGTTTTTACCGTTTAGACGGGAACGCGACGGTGGAGCGTTTTTAAGATTTCCACTCTGGAGGGTGGTTTCACTTTTTTGCGTTTTTAAGCCCCCAAAACGCCGTTGCCGTGTAAACGAAAGGCACATCCGAAAAAATATTTTTACGTTTTCACCCGGAATCGTTCTCGTGTAAACGGGGCCTCAGACGACGACATAATTTCCTGTCGGCAACCGTAACTTCTGTTGGTTGCAATTCGTAACCTCACCACTAGATGCCGTTAGAGATTACACAGATTTAACACCTGACACGCATGTATTTTCAGTATGAAAAAGGAATACTGGACACCTGTATGAAGTTGCTGCAGTTGAGTCCTCAATCTCAAGCCGACGTGAGGAAAGATCTTCTGAACCGCAGCAGTCCGGTGTACATCAGCCGTGTGATCTCAGCTATGGTGAGGAGGATCTCCTCTCATTCCCTGCTCTCCGTTCCCTCTCTCCATGTGCTCATGTGGTCTCTCTGTCGTTCTCATCAGGTGAACTGTCAGGATGATAAAGGGGTCTTAATGGGGAACTGGTCAGGAAAGTACAGCGATGGTGTAAACCCCTCCACGTGGTCCGGCAGTGCAGATGTTCTCAGGACGTGGGCAGAAACACAATTCAGCCCTGTGAGATACGGACAGTGCTGGGTGTTCGCTGCTGTCATGTGCACAGGTGCGACCAATATGAGTTCTTACACTACCGTTAGAACGTTTGGGGTCAGATTATTATTTAAAAAAAATTAAATAAATGAATATTTTTATTTAGCAAGGATGCATTAAATTGATCAAAAGTGGCAGTAAAGACATTTATAATGTTACAAAAGATTTCTGTTTCAAATAAATGCTGTTCTTTTGAACTTTCCATTCATCAAATGCGTCACAGTTTCCACAAAAATATGAAGCAGCACGACTGGTTTCAACACTGATCACAATCAGAAATGTTTCTTGAGCAGCAAATCATCATATTAGAGTGATTTCTGAAGGATCATGTGACACTGAAGACTGGAGTAATGATGCTGAAAATTCAGCTTTGATCACAGGAATAAATGACATTTTACGACATATTCCCATAGAAAACACCTTTTTTAAATTGCAATAATATATCACTATTTTTGATCAAATAAATGCTGCCTTGATGAACATTAGAGGCTTCTTTTAAAAACATAAAAAAAATCGTACAGACCCCAACTTTCGAATGGTAGTGTGTGTCCTTTAAAGTGTTAATTTACCCAAAAATCTTACAAACCTGTATGCTGTTATTTTCTGTGAAACACAAAAGGAGATGTTAGGAAGAAAGTTCAAGCTGCTCTTTTTCATACAGTGAAAATGAATGGTGATTTATACAGCCAAGCTCCAAAAGAGCCGATGGCTTTGTGTTTATCGGATTGTGTGGAGTAAAATAATCTGTGTTTGGGGTTGGTTATGTTTTATTTATGTTTTATTCCTTTAATGCAGGGATGGGCAACGTCGGTCCTGGAGGGCCACTGTCCTACAGAGTTTAGCTCCAACCCTGAAAAAATCACCTGCCTGTAACTTTCTAGTAATCCTGAAGACCTTGATTAGCTTGTTCAGGTGTGTTTGATTAGGGTTGAAGCTAAACTCTGTAGGACAATGGCCCTCCAGGACTGAAGTTGCCCATCCCTGCTTTAATGGGTCATTGGTAATTGAATTAGTGCTGTTGATGATCGATTTATAAAATGCATTTATTTTTGTGTAACAGTAATGAGAGCCCTCGGCATTCCAACTCGAGTGATCACCAACTTTAACTCGGCTCACGACACAAACAAGAACATGGTGATTGAGGAATATTACTCAGAGAAGGGGGAAAAGCTGTCCATCGGGCGGGATAGTGTCTGGTGAGTTACACCGTGAAAGCTAAAAGGTCCTCTTGTCATAGTTATGTTGCTAAAACATTCAAAAGTCTGGGGTCGGAAAGATTTTTTAAAGAAGTCTCTTCTGATCACCAAGGCTGCATTTATTTGATCAAAAATACAGTAAAAACAGTGAAATATTATTACAATTTAAAATAACTGTTTTCTATTTGATTGTGTTTTACACTGTAATTTATTCCTGTGATCAAAGCTGAATTTTCAGCATTACTCCAGTCTTCAGGGTCACATGATCCTTCAAGAAATCATTATAATATGATGATTTGCTGCTTTATATTTTTGTGAAAACCGTGATTTTCTTTTTCATTTGCTTTTTCTTTTTGATGAATAAAAAAAGTTCACAATAACACCATTTATTTGGAATAGAACTCTTTTCTAACATTATAAATGTCACTTTTGATCAATTGAATGCATCCTTGCTGAATAAAAGTATTAATTTCTTCCCCCCCCAAAAAAAAATCTTACTGACCCCGAACTTTTGAACGGTAATGTACTTATTTTTTTGTGTGAAGTCTTTTATTATGTTTCTTTAGAAGTTTTTAAGCTATGCTCCTTATTAGGATACAGTACCTTTACAAATAAACCTGAGTTGATTGCGGTTGAAAGGAGTAATGCATTGTTTCATCATTTTTAATGTGAGTTAAAAGTGTTTGGGCTTTTACAGGAACTTCCATGTGTGGGTGGAGAGCTGGATGAAGAGGCCTGATCTGGATGGAGGTTATGACGGCTGGCAGGTTCTTGACCCCACGCCACAAGAGATGAGCGCCGGTTGGTCAATGCTAATGCATATAGAAAAATCATATGCTTTTTATTAGTGCATGCAGACAAGACCAATTGCTTCAAAGCATGCTGTTATTCCAGCAGGGATATGATGCTGTTGATGCTAAAAGCTAAACTGAATCTGTCACAGGAACGTACCGCTGTGGTCCTGCTGCTGTGAAAGCCGTTCATGAGCAGAAGGTGAACGCGCCATACGACGTACCCTTCGTTTACGCAGAAGTCAATGCAGATGTGCATAGAATGATCATCAGAGATGGGAAGATATTAGCAACCAGCGTTGACAAAGACACAGTCGGAGCCCTGATCTGCACCAAACGTCCCGGTCCAGCCATGCTCATGCAGGACATCACGTCAGAATACAAAACTGAGATGGGTGAGAGAAACACTGAGAAAGAATAAGTACTTATTACTTATAAGTACTAATAAATACTTACTGTTCAATAGATTGTTATACAAAAAACAACAACATCTGATTTCTTTCTCATTTAGTTAGAAAGCCATTTATGTTCAGCAGTGATGGTAAGTCATTTTATATTTCTATTTTTTAAGATGAGGTGTGCAATTCATCTAGTATCAGCAGCACCAGCAAAATATAACAAAGAATGGTTGATGTTAGACAAGACTTTGAGGAAATATTTAAAAATAAACTCAACATCAACCAAAGTCTAGTTTAATAATATTTTTAGTGTTTTTTATGCTTTTTAACGAGAGAGATAAAAAAAGAAAAATGCATATATATATAATTTTTTTTTTTTTTTTTTACATATTGCCAGATATCATGATGAGATTAGACAAAAGTATTTCTTACTCTCTGAATACAATTGTGTATGCTCATACCAAGAGAAACAGAAATAATGATAAAAAAGAAATAAAAGCAAAATACATATATACATAAATTATTATATATATATACAATTAAAAACACATGCACAAACAAGAGAGAACCAACTAAATATTAATAACTGGTTATGTTGTAGTCAATGCATGCTTTTTCCTGTCTCAGTCTTTTTGTTTTCCATGCATTTGTCTGAATAGAAAACTAAAACTGTAGCTGTAGTTTGACTTTTTTGGCAAATAATTTAACTAAGTTTTGTTCTTCCCTCATTTTTAAAATGTATGAAATATTTTCCTCATATTTTGATGTTTTAATCAAGTGGGTCGTTATCTACGTATGCAATTTTTATAGATATTTATTATATATTTTTTTATATTTAAATATTTTTTGTTACCCATCTTCATTTAAAAAAATACTCTCTTCCAGCCCGAAGTGGTGAAGGTGCTAATGGAAGAGGTACGTTTTAGCATTTGGTTTTTCTTCCCACATTAATACTGCTCTATGATTGTTTGAGTGATATAACAGTGATTCTGCATGTCTCTTCATGCAGTTCCTCAGGGCGTTGGAGTTTCTCTCCAGCTTCTGAAAGCCCCTGTAGTCGGAGAAAACCTTTCTTTCAACGTCATAATCACTAACAACATGGCAATTCCGAAACTGCTGAGAAAACACGTGAGCGCTCAGAACAAAGAGTACAACCGTAATCCCACTGGAAGCTTCTGGGAGGCTCATGATGATCTGAAGATCGGCCCGTGTGAAAGTAAGAATTCTGCAACGATATTAAAGTGCTTAAACTGAGTTAAAATGTACTTAGGACTGGTTGTTACTCTGATGTAGGAGTGGGCGATTTGTCAAAAATATAATATCACGATTAAAATAATAGTAATAATTTCCAAAATTACATTTGAAATTGAAAAAAAAAAAACTTATTTTTAATTTGGTAACTGGACAGCACTCGCATGCATCATGTGACTAAAATAGAATAGAATAGAATAGAAAAACTTTATTAATCCCCAAGGGGAAATTGCAGTGTTGCAGCAGGATTGTAACACAGAATACAAACCAAACATATTACATAGACTGACATATACTGACAAATAAATAAAAAATAAAAAAATAGATAAAAATATTACAATGTATCTTAACAAGTATAAAATGTATACACAAGTGCAACAGTGCACAAAGATGTGAAATTAGTATCACATGTGAATATTGAGTGTTAAATATAATGTTAAAAATAATATAATGTCCTTTATCATTCACGTGTCATTCAGTCTCCTCAGTCTCCTCTCCCTGCCCAGAGAGTTGTTGTGTATTGTAATGGCAGTGGGTAGAAATGACTTCCTGTAACGGTCCTTGCTACAGCGGAGTTGTAGAAATCTCCAGCTGAATACACTCTGCTGCCCGACCAGCAGGTTGTGCAGCGGATGTGAAGTGTTGTCCATGATATTATATAACTTGTGTAACATTCTTCTCTCCACAACCAACTCCAGGGGCTCCAGAGCAAGCCCCAGCACAGAGCCAGCCTTCTTTATTAACTTGTTCAGTCTCTTGCTGTCACTTATGTAACGTGTAACGTACTTAAAATGTAACGTACTTCTGTCTGACACGTTTTTCATGGAATCCACACTACGTACTGTTTACTACATACTTTTTTTTTTTAAATAGGACCTATGATGCTTTTTTCCATGTTCATCTTTCTTTAGTGTGTAATGTTGCTGTTTGAGCATTAAAAAAGCTCTGAGTTCTTCTCTATATCAGCGTCAGTGTTTCTGAACTCCTGAAACGCCTCCATTGTAGTCTTGAGTTTCTTCCGGGAACGAACACATCACAATATTCCTCATTTAAATAATTCATACGCAGAATAAAGGGGCGGGGCCTGGTTGAGTTAGTTAGTAGTGTGTTAAACTGGCGGTTATGGTAAGAGCGGGACATTTCCCAAACACACTCGAAGCGCTCGACCAATCACAACACACTGATCCAGCCGACCAATCAGAGCACAGTGTGCTTTTCAGGAGGAGGGGCTTCATAGAGACAGGAAGTAAACAGAGCGTTACTGACAGACTGGGAGGAGTTACGTAAGGTCACGTTTATTTATATAGCGCTTTATATGATACAGATTTTTTCAAAGCAGCTTTACAGTGATAAAAGAGAAATTTTTGATAACATTTTTATTTTTATTATTAAATAAAAATAAAATCTGATATGAACAGAGTTAATTTCGGCTGTAAAGCATCTCTTAAAAGAAATAGTCTCATTGTTCAGCTGAAGTCAGTTAAAGCTAGCCTGACTTCGTCATACTCATATTCTAGTCAGAATGTGAGTCTGATACTGCTTCATAGGGCTTTGATTATGAGGCGTGTCTTAACCGAACCAGGAAAAAAAAAACCTCTGCACTCAATTGGATAGACCTACAACCAATGAGAGCAACGCAGTAAGTCAACTACTTTGCATAGCACAGTTGTCAACTACAGAACTCAAATGCACGCACGCTGGAAGAAGTAAAATAATGAGTGTTGCTTCTTTTACTTGGCCCTCTATGAGTGCGACCAAAGGAGAAACCACAACGACCACAGGGTTTTCATTGCGTCCCATCTTCTTAGTTACCATCAGAGCCAGCTGATAAATTAAACTTTTGCCGAATCCCGTAGGAAGGACGGCAAACACATCTTTCCGATCGACAAATGCCTTGATTGCAGTTGTTCGTCTTTTAAAATGAATGCGCTGTCGATTTCTTTTACAACAGACGCGATGGCTGAATCTCTACATCTCAGTTCTCCAGCGGCAGTCATCTGTGAGGGCAACCAGTTCAACCCAAGCGCTCTTGATAACGTGAGGATTACGTCCCTGCAGATCATCTGTCCATCATCGTATAAAGCCCGCCCTGGCAATTTGATTGGCCCGACGATTTCTGAACCGATCATAATTACTCCTCAATGGAGCGAGTCCAGACCGAACTTCCCGATCAAAAAATGTTGTGGGCGGGGTTCGGGCTGGCATCCAGGCTTAGTTAAAGCAGCACTCAGTAAGAATTCCGTTTTTGTCAAACAGCGACCCCTAGAGTCGCTGTGGAGCACTTGTACTGTCGTGAATAGCACTCACGCAGAGATGGCTCGCACTCACGGCCGGATCCCATCCCCCTGTACACCGGTACCTGTTCAGTAGGATGGACGCTGTAACGAGTGAAAATAAGGTATGGCCCCTTTAAGAGCTGCGCGCGCCCAACACCACATGTATACACAAGTTTATGAGCCGTTTCCGCTCTACATCCTAAACTCCTCCCGTCGATGCAACCCACTTCCGTTCTGGCGGTCTGGGTTTGTTTTGCTAGCTAGCTTCGACAAAGCGCTGATATCGCAGTGACATAACAATTACAACATGAAGAAAGGTGGTTCGGGAACGATGTGTGTGATAGTTGGTTGTAAACACTCGAGAAAGCACCTGAACGAGTGGTTAGATAGAGAGTTCTACGACCGCAAACCAGCTACGAAGAGGTCCATGCGCTCCATTGTTTACACACAAACACACTCACACAGTATCGCGCCCGCGCCTCTCTCTCACACACAGTTCGATCGCCTAATTATTATCATCATGGCTCACACACACACACACACACACACACACACTTTGCACTCTAGCTAAGAAGCCTATGATATAGTTCGGATCGTCAGGAGGACATTCACTGACAGCGCGTTCTCTTTTGTCTTGTCGCGCATGAGTGGTTAAAGCATTTGCGTGAATAAGAGAATGGTCATAACCCTAGCAAAAGGATGACAGAAAGAACAGATGTTGCGTTTGCATTAAATATTTTAACACGTTAAAGCTGGACAAAAATGAATCGGGAAAATATTTTTCTCACGGCCGCACGCCGGAGATCCGGCACGGTGGCGAAAAGTGATTGCATTATTTATTGCAATAAGTAGAGGCTTCAATCGTTTTGTTGTAAGTAGAATAGGCTACTGCATTTTAAGGGGTTAGTTTCGACATTTAAAGGTATTTTAACCGGTAAAATGGTTGGTTGGTACACAGCAGGTAAAACAATGCAGAGTCATAAGGATAATTGCAAAAGAGATCATGTCTTTATTTATAGCTCAGCAGTAAGTCATGTTATAGGTTACAGTCCGTTTTCCAAATACAAACACGTATTCCATCCGCAACAACATGCTTCTTTTATTTCCTATAATCATGTAAATGTCTTCCCTGATTAAGCTATAAACTGCAAACACTTATTTAGCCACAATTGTTGTTATTATGTTAAAAGAAACATTAAAGTAACACACAGATACATTTGCTATTACCACGGACATAAACTGATAGTTATTTGCACGTTATGTCTGTTTTATCTAGCTGTGTATGACATGACACAACCGACTTTGTTGCTGTGCAGATATATGCCTCGACGGCTTTCAGATTGTCCAATTGCTTTTCCATCTATTGCCATGGATTGCACGAAGTAGGAGCAAATCTCGCTGTACGTTATGCTGGGCCACGTCGTCATGTTAGTGTTCTGCACTGAATTCGGGTGGGGGATAGTAACGCCATCTCCAGTCGTGGAACCGTCGCTGTGTACACCGGCAGACGCTGTGTGCAAACCTCTTCCGGCGGAAATGAAGTGCATTTAAGTAGAGTTATGGCGGCGCCCATGATTTGGCGCGTAAACTTGTGTATACGGCGCCGGGTTATTTCTGTTTGATGCTCATTTTATCAGATCTTTTTTTTTGCCGTAAAGCAATTCGTTACCTCGCGAGACCTGATATCACACGATACTTCCTAACACTCAGGCTGGCGGCTCGCAGGCCCAAAGTTGCAAGGGTGGTTTTGCGGCTCACAGGCACCAGGGGGGTGCGAGACGACCACCATTCAACACGAAATCAGTAATATAAACATTACAATGACTCCAAAGCTGTTCGGTTAAGGTAAAAAAGTTACTTAGTTCACAGTTAGTTCAGTTCCGTTGTACAGATCATCAATTATTAATTTAGTTCATTTAATCTATAAAGCATTTCTGTAGAAAACAGCTGCAACAATGTCAAATATGTAAAAATAAAAATAAAATTAACATTCAGGCATGAACACTTTTTCTAGTAGAGTCCACAAACAAAATCAAAACTTTGTAAAAGGGCATAATATGTTACATAATATGGCCTTTAAAAAAATAGTAGACAGTAGACACTGCAGTAAACTAGGATTCCTTTCCTTTCTGAACACAGATAGCATAATATGTAAAACACATTTCTTAGAATCTAACTACACCCATCTGGATATTATTGGACTACATGATTTTGACTACCACAAAAATGTGTTGAAATGATTCATTAGGAATTGCGCAATCAACTCCATGATTCCTGTCTGTTGTTCTCCACCAGCTGTGACGGTAAAACACGAGATCTCCTTCAACAAGTACATGCTGAATGAGGCTATGGAGGATTACCTGGTTAACCTGGCTGTGGTTATAGAGGATGTGAAGTCTCAGGAGAGAGTGCTGGCTTCAGAAGAGTTTAACATCAGCAGCCCTGCCCTCAATATACAGGTACTGGTGGCCCATCATATATATACCGTTGTGTATATATATATATATATATTAGGGCTGTCAAATGATTAATCGTGATTAATCACATCCAAAATAAAAGTTTTTTTACATAATATATGTGGGCGCACTGTGTATAATTATTTTATATATATAAATACACACACGTTTGTATATATTTAAGAAATATTTTCATGTATATACTGTATATAGATTTATATATAATTTATATTATATATAAATATAAATATTTTATAAATAAATAAATAAAAATCTTAAATATACATGTATGTGTGTGTATTTATATATATACAAAATAATTATACACAGTGCACCCACATATATTATGTAAAAAAAACTTTTATTTTGGATGTGATTAATCGTGATTAATCATTTGACAGCCCTAATATATATATATATATATATATATATATATATGTGTGCATATACACACACACACACACAAAACAAACTTTAGACGGACTTAGAGGCTTTTGCATCTGAAGTCTTCATATGTATATATATAAGGGATGCACCGATATTAACATTTTGGCCGAAACCGATAATTCTTTATATTCGTAAGCCGATAACCGGTAAATTGGCCGGTAAATCTACATTTTTATATAATTTTTGAAAGCCTGATTACAAAAACAAAAGTCTCATCATTAAAATCCATGTCCCAAGCAGCACACAATTATGATATTCTCATTATAATTTTATGTAGCCGATATGACAGGCATGTTGCAGATTACTGTATTTTCCTTTTTTGAAGTGATTCCAATCATATTTCAAGCAATTCAGAACCATCATGGTAAACAGTGCGCATCTGAAGAGTCTCAGCTGAAGGAAGTAATCCATTATTTATCGGATTTAATATATCGGCCAACTTTTCTTATCGGGCCGAAAACGATAACACTAAAAATTGACATATCAGCTGATACTGACATAGTGGCCGATATATAGTGCATCCCTAATATATATACATTGACCTCCTTTCATGGACAAAACAGAGTATCATCCTACAATGGTTTGCAAGTGCAGTTTGATGTTGACTTTAAGAAACAACACAATGTTTGTTTTGTGACTAAATGAAAGGTTTCGTGTTGTTTTTGCATCACTCCAAAATCATAGGATATTACAAAACAGGATATTATATAGATTTTTGTCATAACTGAATTCACAAGTAATAAAGCAATTTAATAAGAACCCTGTGTTTTCTTCCAGATTCAAAACGAGTACTCGGTCATCATTAACACACAGCAAGTTGCCACGGTAACCTTTACCAACCCGTTCAACGTTGCAGTGAGCGGTGACCTCGTCGTAGTGGGTTCAGGACTCCTGGAGGAGAAGGTTCAGATGAGGTACATGAAGTATTTCATTTTTTTGTTTTTAGAGCGATCGATCACTAAACGAATGCACAAAAATAACCATGTAATTCAGTTAAATTACTGTTTTCGAATAGGTTTCTTAAACACGTCCCCCATTGCCATTGGTCAGACAAACAGATAGCTCCGCCCCAAACACACACCATTGGTTGATACTTGATACAGTGTGTTGGGCTGATGCTCAAACAAAAAAAACAAAAACAAAAAAACATGCTGACTATAATACCATAGTGACTTTACTTAGTTAAATAATATAATAATAATCATTTAAAAAGTAGTTAAAGAACAGAAATATTCTTATACTGTTTGAAAAAGATCCCATTTTGATTTAACAACAGTCACTGTATAATAACTTTGGTGTTTTAACACACACAAGATTCCCATGGTAAATTTAGCGCACATACCTGACTCTGAAGGGCGTCTAACAGTCGAGTACATACAGTCATATCTGTACAGTGGGTGGGGTTGTTCCTGACATTTTTGACATCTTTATCTTGTTTATCTCTGACATCAGTTTCACTGCAGCTGTGTCTGTTAAAAGTGTCAGTACACACTTGTCAGCCTGCATTTCTGAAGCACTAAAATCACAGGTTATTTCAGTTTCTCTGTGTGTATTGTGTAATTATATGCATAACACAGACACTTTAGTGTACATTAATCTGTGTGTTAAACCTGCAGATTATACAATATAAACTCTGAGACTTAAAGTAGTGGAGCAGCAGAATTAAAGTTAATCTATCAAGTTAAAGGAGAACTCCGGCGCAAAATGAACCTTTGGTCTAATTACACATTGTTACCTAGTCAACCGTTATCTGAGATTTGTTTTCATGATTATCGAATGTAAATAGTTTTATCTCTACAAACAGTTTAGCCTATAAAGCTAGTATAACGCTAGTATATTGGGCATAGTGTAATGACAAATAAAAATCGCTTGTTAATACCACTAACAAGGCTGAAAATAGCCCCACACTAACACGGTAGCATAATGAGGGTCCCTACCTTCAAACCGAAGCATTGAGAACTTTGTAAGTGTCCAGACAGTTTAATAAGAAGATATTTTATACATACAGTCAACTTCGCGTATACAGGCAGAAGTCATCTTTGAAATACAGCCTTTACCAGTCGATCTACGAACGCCGATCCAAGTGCGCTGGTGAGATGTGAACGAGCTATAAGTTGTGATAAGGTGAGCGCGAACAGCAGGCTTGGATCGGCGTTCGTAGATCGACTAGTAAAGACTGTTTTTCAAAGATGGCTTCTGCCTGTATACGCGAAGTTGACTGTATGTATAAAATATCTTCTTATTAAACTGTCTGTACACTTACAAAGTTCTAAATGCTTCGGTTTGAAGGTAGGGACCCTCATTATGCTACCGTGCTAGTGTGGGGCTATTTTCAGCCTTGTTAGTGGTATTAACAAGCGATTTTTATTTGTCATTACACTATGCCCAATATACTAGCGTTATACTAGCTTTATAGGCTAAACTGTTTGTAGAGATAAAACTATTTACATTCGATAATCATGAAAACAAATCTCAGATAACGGTTGACTAGGTAACAATATGTAATTAGACCAAAGCTTCATTTTGCGCCGGAGTTCTCCTTTAAATGTAAATTAAAGCCAGGATCAAAATGATGCTTTAAATGCAAGTTTGTTTACGTTTAACATAATTATTATGTTAATATAAAATGCAACATAATTATCATATAAGCCTTGATTTAATCTAGATTTAAAATCCTTATTGTTTTTTGTGTAAATCACTAACCCTAAACATGAGCAGTAGTACCGGTAATAGTGATTTCCCTGTTTTGAAATGTCCTGTTCTTTATATCTCAGGCTTACGCTCCAGCCTCGAGAAACCATGAGGAGGCCCATCCGTTTCATTCCCAGGATGACGGGAGCCAAGATGCTTCACGCTAGTTTAGAGTTGACGGATCAGTCCACTGTCCTCCGTGGATTCAAGACCGTCACTGTTCAAGCAGCTTAGAGGGAAACACCTTTACAGATGATCGTGAACACAGAGATGATTGCCCAGGTGAAGAGGAAATATGTTTAAATTGTGCTTTTTTGGACATTCTTAATATATTTAAATTACACTATACTAAATGTATAAGTGCATATTGAATGTATTATTTTGAAACGACTTCAGGTATATTAGGTGTATTTCAAGATATGCTTAAGATCAATTTTAAGCTATCTGCAATATATTTTAATATATTAAAATGTGCTAAAATGGAACCACTTCCATTCCTTTCTTTACAGTTCATTTAAAATATACTTTCATATTTATTAAACTACAGTTTGAAATATATTTGAAGCTTCATTTTATTGTACTTCAAGAACATTTCAATAGTATTTCAGCTCATTAGAAATGTATTAGAATTACACTAATAGTTTTTTATAAAACTGTTTTATTCAGTATTCAAAGACATGTTAGTCACTATGAGCTTTTTTGTTGTCTCTATTCTATAAGAACTGTTGTATTCGTGTTTACTGGTGGGATTCTCAATGGAATTTGTCTGAGATCCTCCGGCCTTGCTTCTTCTTGAGAAAAATGCTCTGAGAACTGCTCGAGTTCTCTCCCGGTCTTGATTAAAGCATTTAGAGGACATTTGCTGAAGTCTGTCTGTATATTATTTCTGCGCAGCAAGTTAGATAAGTTCCAGGTCAGTTAGGAACAAGGTTAGAGTATAGTGTTATTATATTAATAATCATAACTTGTTATGATTTATTATGAATATTTGGGTCAGTTAATTGGATTAACTTGATGTAACTAAATTAATATTAGGTAACGCTTTAGATTACAGCCCGGAAAGTACTGCGTAATTAAAGCAATTTTACAGCGTAACCTTCGGTAATTATAGTGTACCTATAATGTACTTACAATATAAGTATAAGGGAACAATATTTTAAGTTTGGGGAATAAAGGGGTGACAACCAGGAGAATTAAAAAATTATTTATACTGTAAGTATTATAGAACTAAGGGGTACTTATTCTACTATTATGATATAACAATCTTACATTTGGGAGCAATTTAGCAAGAACATACACTGCGTACCTTTTTGAAATAATGGTGAACCAGTACATACTGTATAGGCTTTATAAATGCATAGATATGTACCCTGTAATTTTTTAAATGTAATCTTTTTAACAAAAGTGCACTGAAAACGAAAACTATTGCAACTTTTGCTTACCTAAATATTGTGGAAAGATGCTCTTGTTTCATGTAGCTTGTTACCCCCTTGTTCGATGTTACAGGGTAAGTGTGACATTGTGGGCTGTAAATTAAAGTGGTGCTTGTTACTAGGGGTGGGACGATACAGGTACATCACGATTCAATTCTGTGGCGATATGTGGTCCACGATATGATAATATCACGATTCGCGATATCTACGATATTCAATATATTGGAAGAAATTTCATCAACGATATATCACGATATATGTGACTGAAAAGAAAGATTAACAATGCATGTGTACATATTGAGAATTAATATACCGTAAAACTTCCCGGGTTTTTATTTTCCCAAATCGTCGAACTGCACCGGCTTGTATTCGAGACAGGCGTCTATATGAGACAGGCCTTTATAATTTAGTGTTGAGATGTTGTTCATTGAGTTTAGGCGAGTCTCTAATCTCTAAAAAATCTCCAAATGATCCACGTGAAACTGCGGTCTTCCGACCTTTTACTATCGCGTCAATTGATTTTGATTAATATGCGCGAGGGAGAGAGCAAGACAGCGCTCGTGTTGTTTGAAGACGTGAAAGTGCGCGCGCGCGGCCGTTGCGCTCTCTCTGCTCGTAAAACCCGAAGTGTCTCCACACTTTAGAGTGGAAACTAGCGGGTGGGTCTTTGATTCGTTTTTCATTGTTTTCCGCCATTCTTCTCGCTTCTCTCTGTTGTTGTTAGTTAACTTGTGTGCTTCACCGGCCGCTGTTTGCGCCACTTTACCCCTATTTACTCGAACAGCGCCCCCCGCAAACAGAATGGTAGATATTGGGTAGTGACAGTGACACTGACAACGGGTAAATTAATCATTTTGTGTTGTAATAAAATATCGATATTGGGCGTTAGTGTATCGATTATTTATTGCGACAGAGAGCACAACAATATATTGCAATATCGATTTTTTTTCCCACCCCTACTTGTTACCCTCTTGTTCCATGTATTACAGGGTAACAATAAAAATGCATACACACAATCTTGTATCACTGACTCGGAAACCTTTATTTATTATACAAGTAGCCTACCACTTACCCTGTAACCACATGAAACAAGATATATTTCCCAGTATTTAAAAAAATTGCAATAGTCTTAGCTTTTCTTGCCTTGAAACATGTTAGCCCAACTTAAACATCTGCACTTTTGCTATCAAAAAATAAATAAATAAAAGTATAAATGCATAGATATGTACCCTGTTATTTAAAAAAAGCCTATACAGTATGTATTGGTACACAATTATTACAAAAAGGGACGCAGTGTTCTCGCTAAATTGCTCCCAAATGTAAGATTGTTATATCATAATAGAAGAATAAGTTCCCCTTAGTTCTATAATACTTACAGTATAAATATTTTTTTAATTCTCCTGGTTGTTACCCCTTTAATCCCCAAACTTTACATATTGTTCCCTTATACTTGCATGCAAGTACTTTATAGGTACACTATAATTACCGAAAGTTACTCTGTAAATTCCTCTTAATTACACAATACTTTCCGGGCTGTAATCTAAAGCGTTACCTAATATTATAATCAATTAATCAGTTTGTCCAACGAACAGCAATATCTTTTATTTCAGTTTATTTAGAGTTTATTTCAGACATGACGGAAAAGTATGCCAGAAAGAAATTGTGTTGTTGTTTTTTTATTCGCGAGTGACGCGGACGCGCGAATGGGTTCAAAATGTTCAAGCGTAACTAGACCCGATAGACGCGTATTTGACGCTCTATTCGCGTTCGGTGTGAACACACCATTAGAGCATGTAACAAGATCGAGATCGTAAAATAAACTTTGTTTGCAAGCAGAGAATCAGTTAATAAAAACTTGTGCACAATATGTATTTGGTTCTAAGTCACAAACTCATAACTAACATACAAACAATTACACAGACATGGGTAGATGGTTAAAGTGACAGAATGGAACCGGAAGCAGGACATGAAACTATGGAAAAGATCCATTTAACTATGAAAAGAACCATCAGCTTATCATTTCCAGAGCACCTCATTGACTGTATACTTGCATGGCCTGTGCAGTGGAAACAATTCTTGAAGATCTTGGAAAAGGATGTTGTTCATGGTTCCGTGAGTGTCAGATGTTGAAGTTGCAATCGTTTTTTCTCCGTTGCATGAAGAAGATATGATGAACTTGCATGGTTAGCTCAACTCTGTTCTCATGGCTGGAGTTGCAATGGACTTCTTCTGTGTTGAATGAAGACGTTGTGCCAAACTCCTGAGGTTGTCCTTGATTCTGTTGTGGTTGAGAGAGTCCTCTCTCTCCTGAATGAGCACATGGCTGGTTGTGAGTCGAGGCCTGCTGCTCTGGGGTCAGGGGCCTGGTGCGGCCCCGCAGGACAGCAACCCGAATGTAGGAGAGAAGGTCAAGAGCCGGAAGGGCTTGTGTATTGGCCATTTAAAGCCTGAGAAAGGTCCCACCTTTCAGGGTTGGCTAAAACCAATCAAAAAGGGGGAATTTCTAAGCAGGAGATTCCTCTGTTGGGAGGATTTGTGAGTCTTTGTTTTAAGTGAGCTCATTTGCATGTGCAGCTGGATTGGTTGCTGATGAAGAAACTATGAAAGATTCTTGTAATACTAATATGTTGCGCAGCTATCGACAAATCATGTACATAATCATTTCGATCTTCAAAGTACCAATTTATAGAGACCAAACATGGTATAGGTGAGGTTACATTTACCGTTGGTTCTATCGTAAAATATACTGTGTATGTTATGTTTTCCACTGACATAACATGTATAAAACACTTATGGCAAACCACGTTCAAAGAACACAGCCAACATTCAGGGATACTTTACTTCTTCTGAATTTATTATTAAGGAACACAACTAATAATTACAAGTGGCAGTGCCACCTACAGGCACAATGGGGGAATAGCAGTATTACATACATAACATTTCCTCCCCTCTTAATCAAGAAACAAAGAAAACAATGCTTTCTCAGTTACACAAAAATTATGCATTTTTTTATTTTATTTTTTCTAGAGGTAGAGGGTAGACTGCCTCTTGCCTCGAGCCAGTTCGGGGATTATTCTGCCCCATGTCAGAACAGGCTCACTAACATAACTAATTACAGTTCATCCCAGCAGGGATGTCTCATGGCTCTATAATGTCAGACGGTTGGGCGGTTTAATCACTCTGGCTGGATAACGTCTGACCTGCACTGATGGAATGTTGAGTTTGCCATGGTTTATCTGAGGCTCTACTGATGTGTCACTGTTAACATCTTGTTCCCTTGTTGGTGGTACCGAAGAAGTGTCATCTACAGAGGTCTGTACAGGAACAGACACATCACTGATGTCAGGTGGTTGTGTCACCTGAGTTTCAGCTGTTTGCTTCGGAATGGACAAGAGTTGATCAGCATGGCGTCGCCATTCCTCAGAAGCTCCTACATCCACAGTATAAGATACTGGACCACTTTGAGCCGTCACCACACCTGATGTCCATCTTTCTCTCCCTCTGTAATCACGAGCCAGCACAGCATCACCGACTCCAAACTGTCTGGGCTTCGAACGGCCAGCTCTGCGGAGGACCTGGGAGGTCTGTGAGAGTCGCACGGCAGCTGTCACACTGGGTTTCAAGGCATCCAAACGTGTGCGCAGTTGTCGTCCCAAAAACAACAAGGAAGGGGACTCTCTTGTCGTCGGGTGTGGTGTGTTGCGGTACGTCAGCAAGAATGTTTCCAGCCGTCTCTGAAGAGTAGAAGAGCCCTTAGACGTCTTCAGTGCTTGTTTTAGTGACTGAACAAACCTTTCAGCCTGCCCATTGGTTGCTGGATGATATGGGGCGGAACGGATATGTTTCACATGGTTGGCCTTCAGGAAAGTCACAAACTCCTGAGAGACAAATTGTGGTCCATTATCACTCACCAGGACTTCAGGCAGACCATAATGGCTGAAGAGATTCCGCAAAACTTCAATTGTTCTTTCTGCAGTTGTTGATGTCATCAACTGCACCTCAGGCCACTTCGAATGTGCGTCAACCACGACTAGGTACATGTGACCTTCACA